CCTCCTTAGGCCTCCTTGAATGGTCTTCTTTCATGGATACCTTGACCATTTCTCCACATAATGACTTCATCTTTCCACTCAAATGACTGAAAAGTGCTTTCCTATAAGTCCAGTCATGAGGGGTCACTAGTGTGTCTTTGAAATCCAAATCAGAGAGCTGAATTCAGTCTTACTTCCTGGCTGTTTCAGAAACCTATAAGAAATAAGCTTGTGTCAGTGTAGTTTCTATTGGAAATTCACTCATTCACTCATACAGACATGTACATTCCCAAAAATCCCATTAGCATTGCCACCCTTCTCAGTGATAACTAGCAGTGAAACAAGCGACAAGGCATGTGGGGTCCCTAAATAAAGTTTATGGGTGCTGGCTGGGACTGTATAGACAAAGCTCAGGCAATAACCTCTTGTAGTGAGTACTTTTTCTGTGTATACCTTGCTTCATCCCCAATTCTGTCCACCTGGAAGTAAATTCTTGATTTGAGCCAGCAAATGAAGCATTCACAAACTGCAAATTAGAAAAAAAATCCATATTTACAAGTCTGGGTGAACACATCTCCTCCATTGTCATCTCTTCACATTGTGCATTGTCATATGGTTGCTTTTTTCATGCTGTGAAAAGTTCATTGTCTCTCGTTAAGGAAAATGTGATAAAGATCTTGCTGAAAGCAGTTTTAGGGAAGCCCACTGCTCCAAAAAGGAACCAGCCATTGTGGTTTCAGTACTTCAAAGTTAAACCAGTATCTTGTTTTTTGTACCAAATAAATAAATAAAATGAAGACGAACAATATGTTTTCATTTAATGGTAACTGTGGGAAAATTCAGGTCTCCTCACAATGGGAAGTAGAATAGTATATGCTGACTAGGAGGAACTGTAAATATTACAAATGTCAATTGAAAGAACTTGCAGTTGAATAATAATGTACAGCACAATGCTGCTGTCAGTATCATGTGGGAATCATGGCCCCAATCCTGTTTCATTTGAAATCAATGGGATTCACATGAAAATAACCACATCAAATCCACATGCTGCATGTGGTTTCAATGTGAAGCCATAACATTGGCCCATGTTCACTCAAACCCAGGCCGGAGTTTGCATGAATTCTTTGTAAATCTCAGCAAAGCTTTTGACAGATCTGGGACATCTCCCTCTGCACAAGGCATGTTGTCTGTGGTTTCCTGTTCTGTAATGAAAGTCTCCTGTATCCTGAGCAGCAATCCTATCCTAAGTGGCTGCATTTGGAATAATTAGCATAGAATACTACAGTATTATTTTTATTGAGAGATTTTCTATTCATGCACCAAACCAAACTCTTTCATCACATGTTTCAGGGCCAAATTCTCCTCCCACAGGAGTCTCTCCCATAGACTTCAATATGTTACTATCCAATTTCCAATATTTATCTGCTATTTCAGATATGGACAATGGGCTGCCTCTTACTATTTGTTCCTGCAGTTCTTGATTTACTGTAGCCCCAATCTCTACTGGCTCCTCTGGGCAGTGCAGCAATGCAAATTAACTAATTATCAGTCATCAGTTTCCACATCACTATCCTGGAGAAAGGGAGGCTCAGACACAAGGGGTGTTTCTATATATGCTCTTGGGGTGGGGCGGGGGCCTTTAATTAGAGTAGCTCCGAGAGCCACTCTATTAAAGCACCCAAAATGTCTCATGTATCAGCATCCCTGCACTTCAAAATGGTGTTGGGGGCACTTTATCTAAAGCTCATCAGAGCAGCCTCCCAGCTCGTGTATCGGCATCCAAGGAGACAAATCCTTTTCCATCTAGTTGGTGCCTCAGGTAGACTTAGACACCTAAGTGTGATCCTATTCCAGGCTACTCAAATGCCCCCAAGCTGTTATTGTGTTTGCCTTTGTAACATACAATAATCTTAACCTGATGACTGAGGGCCTTGTTACATGGTAATTTTAAGTGATTTCTGGACCTCTTAACCCCTGGATTGGATGCACGTTAACACTTTTTATGTGGTTAAAAGCATTTGTTATTTGTCTTAAAGTTATGCCACTTCAGTGCAGGATTATCTCTAATCCACTTTATGTTTCTCCTATTCCATTAAGGTGTGGCCACTCCAGACAGTTATTCCACCCAAGTTGAAGTTCTCTAGCACCCCAGAAATCAGTAGCCCTTCCTGAGCCAGGGTGAGCAGGGACACGGGTGCAGCAGGGCTGGGTATGGTGCCTCACCCCCTGGGGACATCAGGCATGAGTACCATGGGCCTGGAGTACCCAGCAACTGCAATGCCTCCCGGTGCTGCCTGGACCGGCTTGCTGCTCCTGCGGGCAGTGGTGTGGGGAGGGGACAAGTTCTGATGAAAAAAAGTATCGGGCTCCTTAGAGCTCTGGTGGTGATGCAGTCCAGGCAGCACGGGTCTGCTGGACTCAAGCCCTAGCAGCCCTACTCTCAGCATGGAGCTGCCATAGCTTGACAAAACCAAGCTGCTTTCCTAGGGCTTTCTGGTTTTGTCGAGCTGCGGCAGCTCCATGATGAGAGCAGGGCTGCCAGGGCCTAACTCCTACAGCCCCGCTCCCAGTGCGAAGCCACTGTATCAGTTCCAGCAAGACCAGGGAGCAACAAGGAAACTACTTCCCCAGGTTCTCTGGTCTTGCTGGAGCTGACATGGTGGTTGGCCTGCTCTCTGCCCAGTGGAAGCAGCAAGCAGGTCCTGCCCCTAGCTCCTAGTCCTGCATCTGCTCACCAAGCCTCTAGTGGCAAGTCACAACTGTGCAGGTGAAGAACAGTCAGAGAAGGATTTTCACCTAAGGTGTGGCTGCTCCACTAAGCCGAACAACACTAAGTCGATTAACATTTGTGTGGCTTTCAGTGTAAGCTGTAACAAAGCCCCGAGTCACACAAACCAATAAATAAGAGGAAGCCTCACAGCTCCTTTTGTGTTTTTCAGGGACTCAGACAGGCAGACCTAACTTCAGCTGGGTACCTAAAAGATGAAATAGGATCTGGCCAAGGTTTTAATCTAAGGCAAAGCTGTCCTGATAATACCATGCAATTAGGGTTTTATGCTAGACAGCGAAGAGCCAAGTTCAAATCTGATCCACCTTAGCAGAAAGTAGCAGCACTTTAGGCTTGTTGGGGAGCACCACAACAAGCAATAATTTGGAGCAAGACAGTGGTAATGAAACCACTGTCTCACTGTCTAATGTTCTCTATTGTTTGCTCCTGGCTGGCTAGGAGGAAAAGACAGCAAGAGAAAGATCCTATCCTTTGGTGTTTTGGGACTTGATGCTGTTGTTTTAATAATAATAATAATAATATATACACATAAAACCAAAAAACTATGAACTGTACTATTTCATCCTGTATTTAAGGTTGGTGGGAAAAAAGGCTTTCATGTCCCAGTGGTATGAGTTAGAAAAACCTCTATTGGATTCTAGTGCTTAAAAAAAGTCTGAGTCATACAGACAGTAATAAACTCAGGGAATGTTTGGTTACTTGGGACCTGTATGTTTGGATCCTCCAGGGAGAGGGGAAGGGCAAGCAAGTACTGTGTCCAAAGTTTCATTACCACTTTGTGAAAAAAAATGCATTTTGTTAGACATGCACTGTATAATTAAAAATATGCTCCTTGTGAGGTGGGGGGGGGGGCAGGATATTCCATTTCAAACCAATTTGAAACCTGCTAACTACAGCTGTTGATTTTCTAAACAGCAGAGCTAGAAATTAGACCATGCCTGGCAAGGTCATTTTCCCCCCTGATCTTCAAAGTCTGGAAAATGGGTGCCTGTGCTGAAGGAATTTTTCTGAATAGGTGATGACAATTTGTTAGCTGCCCCTGATTCTGTACTTTCTATTTCACAGCCCTGCAGACTTTAGTTCAAAATATTATTTCAGATATGGAAATATTAACTCAGATGAACATCAACTCAAGTGTAGAAATAATTTTCAATGAAGCATTGCACTGTCAATATGCTCAAGAAGGCTAGATTTTATGAATCTGAAAGAGATGTAGATATAATTCAACAGGACAACAGGACTGAAGAAACAACATCTTTTGATTATTTTTGCCTGGTTTGTTGTAGTTTTATACATAATATATGATATAGCAAATTATTGCACATTTCAATACATTTATATTTGTCCTTGCTTTGAGCTTATACTGAATAATACAACTATAGGTCCCTAGCATATTAGTAAAGTTTCTAATTTCTTTTTACCTGGAGAAAAATATGTATGGTATTACATGTGATGATACACCACACCATTTGCACCCCCTTTTCAGAATCCTAGATCTGCCCATGGCTATTCCAATGTAGGGCAGAGTAAGTTGACTAAACAGAGGGATAGTCACATATAAAATTCACAGGGTCCTGGAAGGCAATTTTCTGTAAAGAGACAGAGAGAGATAATGTGAGAAGAAAGTATCAGCTATGCTACGAGAAAGTCTGGATCATCACAATCTAGGACTAAAGGTACATTACTACATGGGGGCTCTCCATTTCTCCAGCCCACCCTCCTCTAACTGACATAGTGATAGCAGGGGGCAGCAAAGAAGCAGCATGCCCCTCCCTTTCTTCACTTCACCTTACAAGAACTGGGGTGCCAGAAGGTGTGTTTCTGTTTAAGTGAACAGGCCTGGCCTCCTGCCCTCTTCATCTCCTGTCACACAGTCTTCTTCAGGGGTGGCTGTGTCAGGTTCTCCTAGAGCAGTGGGTCTTGGAATTAACAGCACACCAAAATGCAGGATCCACTCAGCGCGAGTGTTTCAGTCTGGCTGCGGGTTCAGGCAGATGTCACTGAGCTGGTTACTCCTGGGTCACATTTTCAAACTTGATTTCATAATGAAGGACACCGTTGTTTTTACGGTTGCTTTTCTGTGTTTAAAGTGGAAGCTGAGATTCTAACAGCACTGAAGGATTTGAGGAACTGAATCTCCAGACACAGACCACTACTAGTGTCTAGGCCCCAACCCAGTCCTAATTACAAGTGAACTGTAATCATATCAGCAGCTCTTGCATGTCACACTTACCACAAACAGCCACGTTGCCAGCAGCTTTTCTTGTAGCCTAACCCTATGTCAGCTGATTTTTGACCATCCATCAATACCAGACTGCTTGCAGGTGTATATCCACTTTCTAGGAAACAACCTGGGCAGCTAGCCCCCATCACCTCAACCTGGGGGAATACAGAAAAAGAATATAAGGGGTATATGGCTTTATAGAGCTTTGAGGATTTATACACACAAGGCACAACTACACATGCATTTCTGCAGCACCAGTTTACTTGAGAGTAAATTACTCATAAGTAAACAGTGCCAGGCAAGCATTTACGCATGCAGAGAAGTGGGAGACAATTTGCTCCTGCTTCTCAGGGCCCTCCAATGGGCCCCTGTTGTCACTGGGGGGAGCTCCAGGCTCTGGCTGCAGCTGCCAGCAGCCGACAGCACTCTTCAAAAGCCAGCCCTGCTTGCTGCTCTCTAGCCAGTCACTTTCCTGGCAAGAAGCAGCATGTCTGACACAGGGACAGTATGCAGCAGTGCTTTTCTTGCAGCCTGTGCCTCCCTGCCCTATGACTCCTCCAGATCCTGCCCCCGGCAGCAATTACCAGCACCCTGGGCTCCTGCTGGTCACTGTGCTGGCCCTGCTGGCATACCCTTACTGCCTGTCTCAAGCCTAACAAGGATAACCAGGGCCCTCTTCCCCTCTCCTTCCCAAACAAACATAGCCCACCTCTCCCTCCCCACAACAAACAGAGCCCTTCCAACATCCACCACCCTATCAAAAATAAAACACCTTCTTCCCCATGAAAACTTTGTACAATATGCTTTGTATGGTGTCCTGGGGTGGGGGGCCATGTGGTGGGGGCACCTAGGAGGCAGAGCCTGGGACAAGCAGCCAGCACACCAATCTCTGGCCATTACCTTGGGTGTGCACACACCATGGCAAATGTGATGTGTGGGGGGTTCACCAAGGGCAATGGTGGCTGGTGCTCACCCAGTGTGGGCAGCTGCCTCACTGGCAAGTGGTGTCCAGGGCCAGGAGTGCTGCCATGTGGTCCTGGCTCCACTGCATGCAGCTGCGGCTCTGCACCTGCATGGAGCTGGGGCAAGCACTATGGCTGGGACCAGGCGGTGGGAGGGTGGGGGCAGGTGGTGCCAGACCTGATGCAGGATCCAGGGCAGGGGCTCCTGGCTACTGTAGGTGGCTCAAGATCTCTTC